AAAAAAAAAAATAATATATATATATATATATATATATATATAAACAGGAAACAACTGAACTTATAAGAGATATGCAAGCTTTGGGCATTTTGGAATTTACCTTATATAATATTTTAAAGACAGGAGTAGAATTTAATAAAGTAATTACAGATTTAATGAAGTTCTTGAGAAATAGCGGTCTAAAGAACAGAATATAGAAATCTTCTGTGTTCCATCTTCATCACACTCTAGTACAGTAGGTGGCGGTATGCACCTTTCCAGTTGGTTTGCAACCCGCCAATAAACTCGAAGAAGAAGAAGAAGAAGAAGAAGAAGAAGAAGACCTACCCTCCCAGTAGGTGGCGGAATATGCATCAAAAGCTGCATGGTTTGCCAACCACCATAAAATTACTTGTCCATCTCGTAGGGACTCCGTTAAACTGTGTAGATTGAGGATGGGGCACTGTGGGTTAAATTACTTTTTGTATATTGTAGGAAAGCATATTTCTGGATTATGTGAATGTGGGAATATGGAAACAGTAGGGCATGTTTTCTTGGAATGAAGGAAGTATAACGCAGAAAGAAAAGCACTTTTTGATAAATTGGCAGAATTTGGAGTTAAAGTGTTTTCTGTTACTTCTTTGTTTGGACACAGTGATAAACATAAACTGATCTCTGAGGTAGTTCTTCAGTTCTTGCATAATACAGGACTGTATATAAGCATTTAGTTCAAACTTTGACCTGTGGAGGGCAGTAATACGCCTAGTAGCGTCTACACTGCCGGAAAGATATAAGAAGAAGAAGAAGAACCACCATAAAACATCAAAAGAAGAAGAAGAAGGGAACACACATAAGCTGTTTTTTTGCATGGGAGCTGAATACGCAGCGGCCAGAAATACAGCTTGGGTGAACCCGAAATAAAATTAACTATAAAATAAAATATTAATAGAGACGGGACTATCATCCATGTATGAATAGAAACAGTTGGTGGCGGTATGTGCCTATGGTGCAATGTTTGAGGCCTACATACAGCAGGCATCTATTAGAGGAAAAAAGGAGGAGGTTATTAAAAACAAAGTTTATCCGTTTTTCCGTTTTGGAATTAAGGTAAGTTGTAAACACCACATCTGCGCTTGTGTGTATGTTACAGCTGCCGGTGCCGGCATTTTTCAAATTAACAACGGTTGTTCATGGTGATGCAAAGAATTATGGGTTATCTGTAACAGCGAAGGATACACCTCATGCATCCTCCGAATTCCTGCGAAAGAAGGTCACATTTGAAGTGTCCTACTTGCTTTTCTGAAATGAGACAGCCTCGATGACGTATGCAGCCTTCGAATGCGACCTCCGGAGGGTGCAGCCTTCTAAATGAGACACAGCAAGAGGAGGACAATCCAGGGGTCAGAAAGTAAAAGTCCTGCCATATGTTTATTCCACCCATGAACTCAGCAGCTGATTTCAGCAGAGGAGGAACCAAGTCATTCCTTTCAAGTCACAAACGAGTCTAGAGTCAAATCCCAAGTCCTCAAAGAGTTAAAGTTAATGAGATAATTAAGTGAGTAATTAAATGATGATTGTGCATTAGTGATGAACACCTGCTGTTATTGAGAATTACAGAGGATCAGATGTTGATGTTTTATTGGTTAAAATGATGGCACCATCATGAAGATCAGTGTTTGCTTTAGTTGCGTTCTTGGCCCTTGACTTCTTGTCTCAGGTCTCTCTTTGTAGTAATGCATGTGGTGTTGGAAAGCAGTGAGATCAGTACTTTGCAGTGAACAGCTAATAGTAGTTTTCAAGTGATGAGATAATCATCAGGGGGCCAACCTGTTTACATCCAAGCTAGCTTTTAAGTCTATGTAATGCATATAAATGTTTGAACTCCTCTGTTAATTAGACATACACAGACATCAAGAACCAGCATATGAATCTGTCATGTAGGAAAGATACACTGATAGAGATATTGATCATTTTATATAGAATAAGTCAAATGGGTAGCGCAATTTTTATGGGTACCAGCGCATGTAGGGATAATGAAACAGCAGACAAAATGGCTAAAGAAGCAATTCAAATGGATAATATTAGCGTAGCAGTCACTTTAAGCAGGGCAGAAGGAAAGTCTGTGATTAAGTTTGTAGGAGTAAATGGCAGAACTACTGGAACTCATAAAAAAGGAAGACATTTTTATAGAATACAAAGTAACATAAAACAAGGTAAAATGAATCATTATATAAATAGGAATGACTTTATTGTATATATACTAGATTAAGAATGGACCATACTAATCTTAATGCAACACTTCATATAATCGGCAAACATAATTCTGGTTTATGTACAGCATGTCAGGAAATGGAAACGGTTGAGCATGTTTTGATTAGATGTAAAAAAAAAAAATAATATATATATATATATATATATATATATATAAAAATGTAATTCTTTTAGCATTTTTAATAATACAGTTTTGGTTTTAAGGGAGGGAATAGCCCATTTGACCAATAAGAATCCAGTATTGGAAATCTGTAAATCATGAAATCAACGACTTTCTTCAATGTGGTCTTAAAATGAATTCTCTAAAACATTTTGCAGCAAAGATTGTAGTGCACATCCTCCAGGCACATTAAAAGCTAAAGTCATGTCATGGTCTAGCAAATAAACCCAGAGGGATGATTGGAAACCCTCACTGGCACTGTGTGTTTATGGCCTCCCTAAGGCTGCAAATCAAGAGCTGTAGCTTTGAGAACACGACAGAATGGAATTCCTTTTATTTTTTTTCTGAGTTACCTAATTGTTGCTCTTCTTTCTTTGCAGGAGTTGATCTTGCCATTGCTGCTCCTGGGCCTCCTCATCCTCATTAGCACCCTCAACCCTCATGTCTCATATGGCAGTATCAGCACCAAGGAGCTGGAGTATGAACGGGACCTGTCACTCAAAGGTCTCGGCTACACCCCCATCAACAATGTCACCAATTACATCATGGAGGAGGTGGCACGGGAACTGCGTACGTCAGATTTATTGTTGTATTTTTAAAGTTAAAATTTTACCAAATTTTGCTTTTTATTTTGACAAAATAACACTAGAACATTTCACCGATCTGTAACGTTTATGCATAATTCAAATTTTTCTGTTTCTAATTTAAAGCAAACAACTAAATAGTATTGCATGGTGTGTTATTTTGTTACTGAATGCTTTGCTAATTAATGGTGTGGTAGCGTTGACTCTGATGGTTTTTAAAGTGGACTCGCTGTGTGTGTGTGTTTCTTTTAATTTGTTTGTGGGTGTTGAATCCTCAGCCATGAATGAGCGATTAGAGATGTTCTCCACTGAGGAAGAATTGGAGAATGCCAGTCTCTATGAACCTGATGGCTTTGTAGGAGTGGTCTTCTTGGATTCAATGACGTACCTTCTGCGATTCCCGTACAACCAACTCCCTCTGCCTAGCGACTTCACTGAATCCATAAGTGAGAATCACTCCGTGCTGAAATCATAAAGCCACAGCAGCTGTGGCACCTGATTTAGCTTCTTCTTTGGTTAATTGGTGACCTCCTTTTTAATGCAAATGACATTTAACTTTGTAACCGTTTGATCTGTAATGAAAGGAACTGGTATGATGGGTGTTTTATTTTTTTTATCCACAGCAAGCTGTTACACAAACTATGTCAACTGCCGTGCCGCCAACTACTGGTATTCTGGATTCATACGGCTGCAGTCTCTCATTGATACTGCCATTATACAGGTTTGAAATTGCATGGATGAATAATTTATTGGTATTTAAGCATTGTAGCTGTTAAAATGGAGTGCATCTAACCACCATAAAACATCAAAAGAAGAAGAAGAAGGGAACACACATAAGCTGTTTTTTTGCATGGGAGCTGAATACGCAGCGGCCAGAAATACAGCTTGGGTGAACCCGAAATAAAATTAACTATAAAATAAAATATTAATAGAGACGGGACTATCATCCATGTATGAATAGAAACAGTTGGTGGCGGTATGTGCCTATGGTGCGGAATACGCCAACAATTCCTAAGAAGAAGAAGAAGAAGAAGAAGAAGGGAACGCAATGCCCCATAGGAAGGCACCACATATGATACGTAATGATTAGTTGGATAGTGTGGTTTTAAAACGGGTTATTGCATTACAACGTAAATAACAGTCATCTCGGTCAGACTATTAAATATATATGAGGAGCTGAGCAAAATACTTTTCTGATTCACTGTAAACACGTGAATGTCACTCTGTAAACACGTGACCTGTGCTGCCCTTCACGAGCAACAAACAGCTGGATTGGAGTAATTTACTTGATTTGCAGAGCTGTCAATTCAGCCTCTGTTCTCAGACGAAACGTCTATAAGACCATTGGTGAGCTGATAATCTTTAATAACTTCTATGTGTAATTGACTGCTTCTGCTAACGTAGTAGTCATGGCAAAACGTTTTTTTCTTTAATAATAAACAAACATACACAAAATATACATTTGTACAGTTAACACCACCGAAAAATAACTATGGATAAAAGGTATAAAGTGTGTGACATATCAACACGAAACTAATTACATTAAAAAGGTAATATGACCTTGTACTTGAATGTCACTTTACTTACTTTATTAGTTATCACGCATTTAAAAGAAAATGTCCACACTTTTTCCCAGTCATTATTACTAACAAAGTTCTCTCAGTACAGCACCATATATGGAACCGTTACAAGTTCTTTTTGAAAAAGAATTCACAAGGTGTTCAGATCAATTTCCACTATTTGTTATGTTGCAGCCTTATGCTGTAATGCTTTACATTTTAAAATATTATCAATCACAATACACCATTCAGATTTGCGCTTTTAAAAGTATATTAATGAAGCATTTTAGCGTAACTGGGAGAAATTTGGATTAGTGCTTAAAGGGGTCATATGATGTTGCTTAAAAGAACATTATTTTGTGTATTTGGTGTAATGAAATGTGTTTATGCGGTTTAAGGTTCAGAAAACACATTATTTTCCACATACTGTACATTATTGTTTCTCCTCTATACCCCGCCTTTCTGAAACACATCGATTTTTATAATTGATAATTACGGATTATAATGATTTATACTGTCTTTTTACACGTTGCATTGCACTTTGCAAATCATTTTAGATAATTTGTAAAGGTTTTGTGGTATCTGTGGCCATCTGCTGGACAAAATTATGAATAGCACGTAGCAAACTGTTGTGTCCCATTCATGGTCCCATTACAGCAACTTGTTTCACATCACATCTCTTCTTTGTCATGATCATCAGATACACTCTTAAAAATAAAGGTGCTTCAAAAGGTTCTTCAAACGATGCCATAGAAGAACCATTTTTGGTTCCACAAAGAACCATTCAGTCAAAGGTTCTTTAAAGAACCATCTCTTTCTTGCCTTTTTATAATCTGAAGAACCTTCTTTCACCACAAAGAAACCTTTTGTGAAACAGAAAGGTTCTTCAGATGTTAAAGGTTCTTTATGGAACCATTTAGACAAAAAGGTTCTTCTATGGCATCATGAAGCACCTTTATTTTTAAGAGTGTAGATGTATTGATAGATTTACGTTATTCTCGAAGTAATTAATTTGTTTGAACATATTGGCACTAAAATAAACATAAATTGAAATTATTTTACACTGTGCAACTGGGGAGTGTTTCATAAGTTTTCATAAACAAATACACAAGTCAATCAACATTTTTTGTTTTAAGAGATGCTCCGTGACATTACACTGTGTTGCCACTAGGACTAAATACTCTTTCAGGTGGGGGAACTAGTTGCTGGAACACACAAGAACTTCTTGGCTAGTTTGCAGGAGGAGTCAAATTGCCTTTCGGTGCCGTCTTTGGCACAATACATAGCACTAGTATGTGTTTGAGGATAATAACTTTTATGGTGACACGTTGCAAGTAAGTTTGCAACAAAGCAGTCTATGATTTACAGACACAAAACGGGATTTTTATTCGTAAATAGTTAACAAATTAGCTAATAACCCTTGATATTCATAAACGTTTCATATTGTACAGTCTTAAACCCAGGGTTAGCATTCTTTTTTGCATATCTGTGATGTCATGGATGAGGATGAAAGCAGCACCCTCATATTATAGATTGCCAACTGTACTATCAAGTTTTCCTGACATTTCTGACTATAAATCTATGAATTAAATGGTCTCTAATTAATGTGTTTTGTCCACCACTGTGTGAAAAGTCCTCAAGAGTATATACATTTAGAAATAGAGTTGAAGCTCTGATGCTTGGCTTTGATGTTTTGTTTTTTTTGGACACAAGTGTCAGAGCTTCTGTGTCCAACATAACAACTAGTGAAAAGTGACTTTGCGGTCTTCTGTCTTGAAGAGAATTGTAAAGTCATATTAACCAACAGTTCTGTGAATGCCACTTTCATGTCTTATTTATATAATACATTTTGAATTTGAGTGTATTGTATGGATTAATTTTAATAAATGTTTTCCTCTGTTGCAGGTAAGTGTCCCAGATTTCAGAGGATTTTAGAATGAGTGATGGGATGGGATGGGGAGGCTGTAGTATCCTTAATGTCATGTCAAATTTCCTAATTTGTTTTCTGCAGTGATAAACTAATATCATTGGCATGATAATCAACCTATTTTTTTTTTTAATCAGCATCAGCAGATAACTGAGCCAGATTTACAGAAGTGTCAGTTCCGTTAATGAATAATGCACAATTCACATTTTCTGTTTTCAAATATGAGTGAATTTAAATTAATGGAATAGTTCACCCAAAAATAAAAATTCTGTTATCATATACTCTCATTTATGTTGATGAAGACTTCATTTTCAGAAAACAAATGAGGATATTTTTAGTGTTCTCTAATAATTTATGTCCGTACATTGAGAGTCCATGCAACCAAAACCTTTAAGCATCAACTTTTATACTCTGTAGTGGACATTATATTTGAGTGAATTTCTCTGAGACCTCACATGTCACAGTTTTAAGTCTGGATGTCCTGTACGGAGCACATTCAGGGCTTTCCAGAGATACCAAATGATTTGAAGTTTCACCATGACCACCCCCTCTCCTTGGTTTTTAAAAATGGCTGATCATCCTCAGGCCATCCAAGATGTCATTAAGTAATTGAGTCACTGGCTCACAAATGAATCCTCTGCAGTGAATGGGTCAGAAGGAGAGTAGAAACAGCTGATAAAAACACAATAATTCAATAGTAATCCACACGACTCCAGTCCATCAATTAATGTCTTACATAAAAAGCTGCATGTTTGTAAGAAACAAATCCATTAATGCATGAGTGTTAATAATGCATAATCCATAATAACATTACCTTATGTGGAAAAAGTCAATCCCCTGTTATCCTCTCACATCCCAGTTTAGAATGGTTTTGGACAGTTTTCACTTGTAAACGGTGCTTTATCTGTGCATATCATCTTGATTCATGAGACAACTTTTTCAATGGAGAAAGCAATATTTCATATTTCTTGATGGATTTGTTTAATGCAAACATGCAGCTTTTCACTTCACAAGATGTTAACCAATGGACTGGTGACATGTTCATTGCTTGTGGATTATTGTGAGTTTATTTATTTTTTAATCCGCTGTTTATCAGCTCTTTCTGACAGCACACATTTATTGTAGAGGATCCATTCAATCAATCTTGATTTTTGTAAAATGTTGCAACAAGATATTCTGTCTGTTTTCTTTTCATTTATTATACAATTAACAAAAGCAAAAAAGACATCTGACACTAGCTTGCTCTATTCTTTTTCTATTCTATCGGTTTTCTTTTTATTTATTATATTATTTAAAAAACCCTTGCTACGTGTACTGTGTTAAGCTAACTGAGACTTGTTATAGCACTTGTATATCATTGCTCTTTTGTTGATTTTGATTGCTTCCATTGTCCTCATTTGTAAGTCGCTTTGGATAAAAGTGTCTGCTAAATGACTAAATCTAAATATAAGATTTTTTTTGTGTGTGTGTTAAAAATTACAGTTTTGGACATATAAGGTAATAAAAATATTTAAAAAAATACCTTAAAGTAACTACAAATGAGCATGTAAAGCAAAAATCTTTAAAATAAATTCCGTGTGGATCATGCCCCCGATCTGTGCAATGTTAACCTGTAACACCTTGCACGTTTTTGCCTTAAACCTGATACTTACTCAGTAGTACACAGAGCTCTAATTAATGTCAAACACACAGCGGTCAGGCTTGAGTGACAGTGGTACAGAAGAGGAAAGACAGTAATATGGAAGGGTGTTGTTCTGGGGAGAGACAAAGATATGTTTTGGGTCTCTGGTTTATTAGATTAGTATGAGATTTGCACACACACACACACACGCACACACACTCAGTCATCAGTGGAGGAAAATACAAAGACTTGTATAGACTTGCTATATTCATGCTTTTATTATATGATAATAATAAATAGAAAGCTAATAGAAGGGTATATATATATATATATATATATAAAAAATACCTTAAAGTAACTACAAATGAGCATGTAAAGCAAAAATCTTTAAAATAAATTCCGTGTAGATCATGCCCCCGATCTGTGCAATGTTAACCTGTAACACCTTGCACGTTTTTGCCTTAAACCTGATACTTACTCAGTAGTACACAGAGCTCTAATTAATGTCAAACACACAGCGGTCAGGCTTGAGTGACAGTGGTACAGAAGAGGAAAGACAGTAATATGGAAGGGTGTTGTTCTGGGGAGAGACAAAGATATGTTTTGGGTCTCTGGTTTAT